AACTACCAGCAAACCTTAAAGCCCGCCTGGTAACCAGGGGCCTTCATCCATTCGTAGAGGTCGTAGCCTGGGGAGGCTGCGAAGGTGTCTTTCAACCCGAGTGCGTCAACAGTTCCTGGGGCGGAACTTCCGAGTCTCTGCCTTGACGTCTCATGGCGCACAGTGCTCTGCGCTCTGGGATGGCTTGGGGGCTTGCGGTTGGGGCTAAGGGTTTAGAGCTATGGGTCTCGCCACCTAGCCGGACCTAGCCTGTTCGACGTTCATACCTGAAAAAACTCCTTAAGCAGCCGAGCCAAGTTTCAAACCAAAGGAGCATCGCATCAAAGTTCCTCGTCGCTCTGAACTCTACCATGCTACCACGAATCTCCTTTCTGCTATACTACTTGATTTTGAGAGAAGTTCTAGAATACAAGCCTATGGGAAATGAATTCCTTCCAGGTGCTGACCATGCTCCCGGAGGAGCCCTCATCTTCTCCTGCACCAAGAGTTCAGAGGGGCGGGAAGTCCGGCTTCAGGCTCTTTGGAGTATAAAGTTATCAAAGCGCTGGGCGTAGAGGGCATGTAGGAATGTAGGCTTTTTCCATATCGTTGGAGCTACAGCCCGGTCACCGGGCGGCAGTGTATATCGTGTTGCTCGCAAGCCCACCCTGCTTTTCGGTTGGCGGGTGAGGGCCGCTCAGGATCTAGCGCTAAACTGCACACGACATCGAAACCCCAGGCCTCGTCTCGCAACCACCCCCCAACCTACACCTGCTAGAGCCTCGACAGTTTTAATTCAACATGGGTAACGGCAACCGCAAATTCTGAACCAACAACTAAAGCCCCTACCCCGGCACCAGGCCTTTAGCCCCAAAACCCATCAACTGAACCCCCACAAGCCCAAACTCCAAATTCTAAATTCCTACCGAAGCAACCGCCGTAAATCCACAAATCTCAACAGCTTCCGGGCCTTCGGCCAACTGCACCGTTTGCATTCGACGTAGCTCCGGAGCGGAGGAGTCGTCTGGGAACGGCACTCGCGGTTTAGGGGTAAATACTTTGGGTATGGGTTTGGAACTTAAGCTTTCCGAGGTGAGGGTTCACTTGAGGCTTCTGCGGATTAGGGCCTTAGGGTTTTGGGCGTGCAGGGTCTGTCACAAGGCCTTAAGGCAGTCAGACCCCGAGACACTCAGTTCAAGGGGAAACTTTGATCAGAATCCGCACTTAGAAGATTAACAGACATTGGAGTCTCTTGGGTGAGGGTGTTTTTTGGCTTTTGGGGGTTTGGGTGTTTCGATGGCGCACGCCTTGTAGCGATGGGATACCCATTTCCTCGCCTCTCAGGATGCACGTAGTTTCGGAACAACTCCAATGCCAAATGACTCGTAAGCCAGAAACACTTAGACTGGAATGTAGTAGAACAATCACCTTCGCGTGAAAATACGCACATATATGGTCACGCGCTCCGCGGCCCCCCCCCTCCGCGTGTACCCCGCCTTGCAACCAGAATCCATACTTTACAACCAGAACCCCCACTTTACAACCCATGAGCCTTTCCGGAATCCCCACTTTGCAACCGGTTGGGGAAGCTTCTTAACAACCCTATTAACTGATAACCTCAAAGCCTAGAATCTCTAGCATCATCCTCTACGGCAGCCATGCAGGTTGGAAAGTGATGTTGGTTGCAATGTGGGCGTTCTTAACCCGAAACCACGATAGATATGTGTGTGTACATATATATATATATATATATATATATATATATATTTATTTATTTATTTATTTAGATGCGTGAGGGTTTGGTATCGATGATATACTGTTTAGATGCTCACCTCAGCGAGCGTGTTGTTGCATAGTTGTTTGCACTTTAAGCACTTGCGGCCGTCAAGCTGTATCCAACTCACTCCCTGCAGGCAAACTCGGACCGAGTGTGTTTGTATTGGGGAAAGCAGAAAGAAAACATGAGTTTTAGAAACGGATTCTTTTCTCACCAGAGCGCAGGTATGCATTTGGTTCGGGTGCATAGTCTAAACCTAGTGGCTTTACCAGGGTTTAGGGCTTAGGGTTTAAGGCGTAGGGTTCGGGTGCATATTCCAAACCTAGTGGCTTTACAGGGGTTTAGGGCTTAGGGTTTAAGGCGTAGGGTTCGGGTGCATATTCTAAACAAGGGTTCGGGTGCATATAATCCGGAGCAGCCCTCAACTACTGCTTTGCCTCCAGCCAGGCGCACAGAAGCACCCACAGACGACAAAGATCAAAGATATCATGCGACGAAGCAATTTTAGGGATGTTCGAGATCTTAGTAGTTTGGGGCCACGGTCGCATGAAGGCCACGTAAAACACTTTAGGGGGTCAAAGAACCAACAAACTATTAGGAATCTAGGTAGGTTTGTTGTAAAAAACTCATGAAATCCCAATAAGTCTTAATCATGGGTAGACGGGTTGCAAAGTGGGCGTTCTCACGATCGGCAGTTGTAAAGTGGGGATTCTCACACGGAAAACAGTGTCTGTGGTTGTAAAGTGGGGATTCTGGTTGTAAAGCGGGTTAATCCCCCCCCCCTCCCTTTCAAAGGTCAATGGTCCGGATATAGAGTAGGACCCCCCCTCCCCTGTGGTGTGGGGTGTGGGTCCCTCTTCCCTCTGTGGGGTGGTTGTGGGGTTTTGGGGTTTAGGATTTAGCTTAAGCTTTTGAGTGTTGGGCTCACGGTTACAAGGTATAACGCTTCGAGTCGACAAGGGCTTAGGGAGGATTTGCGGTGTATGTTCTGCTTTAGGCTTAGAGGCAGCTAGGTGGGGTTTAGGGTTGGGTGTAGGGTTTGAAGTACAAGTTAAGGTTACTCAAAACAAGGGCACGCGCTGCGTTGTAGGGTTTACGGCTTGCTTGCGAAGGGCTTGCGTGTGAGCTCTGGCTGCCAGCACCATCCCACCATCCATTGGCAGCTCCAACGCCCGCGGCCCGCGACCCCTTTCCGCGCACGCCAGCCCCCCCCCCCAATGGTATGGGAACGCCAGACGCCTGACCATATATGCTTGCGTAACTCTCTTTGTATTTACACAGATGGTATATGACATACACACATATGGATACATACATACATACATACATACGTACATACATACATATTGACATATATACATACATACATACATACATACCTGCATGCAGGCATAAGCGGACATGCGGATGTACGAACTTGCATGCATACATAAACATGCCGTTGGCTCACCGACTTTTCTTGCAGATGCTACTAGCAACTCGATTCTAAACCTGCTCCCACCAGGACTGTGGCCCAAGTGTACGCTGCAGGCCAGCTGACATGTGTGTGAACAGTAGATTGCAACTTAAAACCCTCCGTTCTCATCCGACAACATACACTTGCACGCATCCGGAGAATCCTCTGAAAGCTAACGCCCCAAACCCTTAAGAGCCTTTTCAGAAACCTGAAGCCGCGAGACAGTAACGGGCACGCGGACAGCGACCCGCCTGGCATTTCGCAGCCGCGGAGACATCCTCTGGCTCCTCCCCCAGGCCCCACACCACCAACATGTGTCTCCGCTTTAACGGTTTACCCGAAGGTTTGGGTTTAAAAGCTTTGAAGGCTGAGGGCTTAGTTCAGTGTCCAGGTTAAGGGTTTCGGACGTAGAAATTGAAATCTAAAGGTGGTGCTTCGAGACGGCTGGTGGCTCAAGTCCCCGAAAACGCAACCTCAAATTCTACAATCCGTCGTGCTTGGCTGTGCTACGGTGTCGACTACCTTTTTCTGTTCCATCGGTATCCTGTAGATACATGCAGCACATGCATCAATGAAGACCCGGAAAACTGACTCTGCTTTACTGTGCTGACAATCACAATCGGTGGAACTCGCAAAGCAACTCAGCTTCAACATTTCACGAGACTCGAAACCCACAAATCCGGAGCCCGAAGGCTGAACTGGCAGAATACATCAAATGGACTTACGGCTTACGGCTGCAGTGTTTGAGTCTCGGGTTGTGTGATCAGCTTGCGTGAAAAGATGCCGTCTATGCAGAACTCCTGTTCTGCATGGAGATTGAACCGATCACTCACAGCATGATGATCTCTAGTCTGAAGCCAGAAGAAACCCCAAAAAGTTGTCTGATGACTTGTGTCTAGTAGTGGCCAAAGCACAATCCTTATCCCCCACACCTTGCTGGACTTCCAAAGCGGTCCTGTATTGTTCGACGCTTTCATCCCGGTGAGGGGATCTCAGTTTCCGAGTATTTCGAGGACTCAGACGATATCTCCTCTTTGCATATCAGAATTACAGACCTACATACCTGCATATCAACATACCAACATACTTACAAAACCACATACACGCATAGCGACATACGTGCACGTAAACGTACATGCATACATACATACTTGTGTGCTTGCTTGCTTACTTACGCACTTACCACCCGATTTGCTTCCATGCTTTCATACACACACATATGCCTATGCATGCGAACATGCACATGGGTATGTGTCCTTCCTGCGCGTGCAGATACAATCACCGACAGATTTACAGACAGACAGACAGACAGATCGGAAGATACATAGGCAGGTCACGGGTAGGGTGGTGGGTAGATAGGTAGACAGGTTGATAGGTAGATACAACGACTGATACATCGACGGGCACTGCGCTTTTCTATCTCTACAACACGACAGCAACCCGTCCATGCACCCGCATGTCTGTATGTCTGTCTTGCGCACATCTTGTTCTGATCAGAGAAGCATGTACGCGTATGCGTATGTGTATCTGAAGACTGTATATATGATATGTGTATATGTAATCTGTCCCCCTGTCCCAAAGTATGCATCTTAGAATGGACATAACCCTTCATTTGTTGTCTTTAGTGCATCGCTGCCGCAGGGGAAGGGGCTGGCTGGCATATGCATGTGCTTGCTTGGGCAGAGTTTACAGCTTCTCGGAACAGGTCCGGTTATGCACGGAACCTAGCTTGGAAACGATTGCAACCTTTTCTTGATGTCAAACAAAAGCTCACTTCGTGCACGTATGTCAATATGAAGCTACGTATGCATGTGCACACCTACACACCAACACGGCGGTTGCAACGTGCCACTGCATGTAGAACTGGTTCGAAGCACTCAGCCCGCAGCAGAATCCATCATCCTCGCCCTCCCGCCAGCACTTCCGGGTGAAGCAGAAGACCGACCTCTCTCAAACTCACTCAACGATATGTTCTGCGTCCTGGGTACTCAACCCCTTGACACCCCGAAAAGAAAGACGATGTTCGAAACCTGGCTTGATGCCCTGTACGACTGGAACGACGCTTTGCAGACCTCCTCACAATCAGTCAATGCGAACACTCTTTTGAATACTCTTGCCAAGATGCTGCTTCCTCTGCAAATCACACCTAAACCACTCTGCAAGAAACCGAGTCCCTAAGCACTTATATCGAAATCGAATGACCCAATAAACAAAACGTGAGGCGTGGGCTCACAGTCAGTTCCTGACTAGCGCATCCCGCGCAAAAGCAAATTGATCCCGCCGGAGCTAACGATGAAAGGTGACTTGAGGGATTGACCTGCCAGCAACTGTTCGTCAGTCACACATTTCCTAGTTGAGATGCTCAACATGAAGAGTCTTATGGCACTTGAGCCTCGTGATCTTTAAGTAAGATATGTCGCTTGGCACTCACATTGCCCCGCAGCATCATGGCCATTGCTCGCGTCCATCCGTCAATGATCACCGTCATTGGAATCATCATCAGCAGCAGCAGCATCACCGGTTATCAGCATCATCGTCATTATCACCATCATCCTGAGTGCCGTGGTCGCCAATATCATCAACCGAATCATCACCATCATCGTGAACATCACACGACTCTTGCGACTAGTAGCAATGGCACTACCATTCGGTGCTAGAAGTGTCTGTCATACAGGACTTTACCCAAGTGCTCAATATGCTGTGGATCGTACGATTAGTCGACCATCTGATTTCTTTGCGTTTCAATCCCGTTTCGACTTGGATTGTGCAATGGATACATTCGCCATTGCCAGCACAAACCGTATCAACACCAGCAAAGAGGTTGTAGTAACTGATAACTATGCTTGTGTTGCAACTTCTCAAGCTTACATTGCAGACGCACTCCCTAATCTGTGTTTGCTTCGTGCTCGGTTTATCCAGATGGAAACGCTGCGGCTAGTCGTCTTAGGAGCTCGATTCTTTCTTCCCCTCATGCCCCGAACACGGAGATCAAAGTAGGCCGGACAGGACACCGAAGGCCACTGTTGAAGATGCTCCTGGGCTGCTGACAACAAATTCAGAAGGCCGTCCTTTGGCGATTTGAGGCTTCAATCACGCTTTCGAGAGTCCGTGATGCCCCGAAGAGGGATTCCTGGCTCTTTCGTGCTGTTCTGGGTTGTCCTATAAGAACTTTCTGAAGCGGTATAGGGATCAGGGCTTTCTTTCCTTGGGTGGAGGATTTGAGTGCAGATTATAATCTCAGACGCGTCGACATGGGTCCGATTACCACAACGGACCACTGTTGAAAGCCACGCAGGGCCCCGAAAAATCTCGAAACTCCAAAGTATAGCTCTTCCAGCCGCCACAGGCGGCCTCCCGTGTCTGCTCCAGATCTCGCGGACCTCATCCTGCCCTCTAGACATTAGACCCGACTTCGAAAGCTTCTCAAGAGCTTTTTTCCGATCTGATTCCGCAATCGTGAAATGGTCAAATCTTCAAGAGCCCAGGCTCAGGTAAAGAATGCAGCGGAGCAAGCCGCGATCGGAGAGGGATCCTCCAAGGAGGCGAGCAGAATGCTTTCTTTTGGAGTCTTGGGGCTGGGCAAAGTTCTGGAGGCTTTCTCAAGAGTCCCTGACAAGGGTCGATCGGCCAAGAGACTCTGGCCTTGCTTTCGGAGCCGGTGTCTAGGTTGGCTTCGGCCTGTTTAAAGGGCTTCGGTGAACGTTCTGTTCTTCATTCTGGGCTCGGATAGGTAGCCTTTCTCGGTATTCAGCAAATCTCGACTTCTCGAAGCCCTGAAGCGCGAAACGTCTGGACCTCAACCAAGGCAGCAAAAACCTACCGGACGCAAGACCGAGTCTCCTGTGTAGCGTACTGCAACATGGCGATAGATCTTCCTGGGTCGTCAACGCATTTTCTAACAAATCGGTGCTTCCGGCTTCCATTCGACAGAAAGGAGCGCCTTCTGCTGTCATAACATGGGGCCGTCTGCCATGCCAGTATTACTAGAACTGATGAACTAGCGTGAGACGTGCATGAGTGCGGCAGCAGATCGCCGGATAACCCGAAACCCTCGAAGCCTAACTACTAAAGCCCGAAAAATCTACAGAAAGCCCTACAGCCGTAAATCTCGATACTAAACCCCTAAAATCCTAAGAGCCTAAGACGCCAAACCCTGGACCCTAAGCTGGACTACAAGGTCTTTTCAAGCACCGGCAAAACCAGAAATTGCAAACCGAAGATCCAGGAAGACCTGTGCTATTGTGTATCACCTCAGTAGCTTTCAATACAGATGGCAAGATGCGCTTGCCCCAGGAATCACCGCTTCGCTGTTAAATGCTGCAACTGTCGCTTATGAGTCGCTTCATGCTACGTGTGTTTACCGAGGAAACACCAACGTTTTCCGAACCCAAAAACTGCCCTAAATCCAAATCCTGGCGCGAAGCCGCCGAAGCTTTCTTAGGGGCGCTCGGTGCAAGCAAGGCTCGTACCACAGTAGAAATAAAGGATGAGCTTGATAATGTTGATGATGACACCCTGTGCTGCAGTCGCGAATGCTGCATCGGCTCTTGCAATACACGGGCCGGTACAAGGGAATAAGCTAACAGGTTATTTAGTTCCCTATGCTCATCAACCCTCTTTCGAGCTGGATCTCGCCATCAAAAGGCACCGCTCTGAGGTGGCACGGAAAGAACCCTAAAGCGACAATCCCATGATTTGTCATTATTGGTGCGATTCTTGCTTCAAGGAGAGCTGTCATTATCCTCATGCTAACTTATATCATCGCAAACACGTTCGGTCAAAATAGTGGCAGCAGGAGCAGCAGCTGGTGGTGGTGGGGCCGGCGGCGGTGGCGGTGGGGTGCTTTGAGTTGAAGGTCAAGAACCTGCCTGCAAGAACGCAGCCTGAACACAACCTGTCCTCCCTTGCTCCCGCAGGAGACAACAGGACCCGCCGACAGGTCGTAACACTTTCAATTTGCTGGAACAGGGGCAAGGATAGACATAGCAAGGAACAGGGTATGTGGTCACTACTGTGACCACATGTGCTTAGAGGAACATTTCTGGCATGTCTACTTGAAAACGGACTTGCAGAAACCCTCCACAACTTTGCGCCTGCCAAGCCAGCCTCGTAAAGTGCCGGAAAGCCTTCCTGGCAGCAAAGCACTGAAGAGTAGCTGTGGTTATATGGGTATCCACCTGCGAACCGCCCGAAAAGGACCGTAAACCCGAGGGTCCTGCGCAGCCCAAGCAACGGGCAGTCAATCTAAAGCTAAAGTCAAAGTTGGTGATCGGTAGAGGGCTCTATACAAGAAGAAATACATGTGAATCCGCGCGGCCCGGTCGCATCGTTGCCCATCTTCCTGAGACGCGGCAAATCGGCGATGCAGAAGTCGATGAAGCCAGAAGGTTAGTAGCTTGTAGGCCCAATCGTACAGGGTTCAATGCTTTGGTTTTGTTGCCTGCAAGATTGTAGGAACTAGAATGTGAAGGCTAAGGGGTTTGCAGGCGTCGTGACCAGCATGCAACGTCCGGGCCATACCTCGAATGGAGGAGAAAAAAGCGACTGCAAGCTACGCACACGATACACCGCACCACCCCCCCAAATTGCTTCGGAGAGACCTCACTACGCAAGAAAACTTGCACACATATTCACAATCACTACTTTCCAAGTGTTGAGGCAGTCAAGGATGAAACAGTAGTGTCCGAACGACGATGATAGGACAAGAACCCCAATGTTAAGTTCTGCGCTATGCGTCCGTAACCAGCGATTAACTTGAGAGAGCAAAACGTGTGCAGCATTTCGTTACCGCTAAACTGAGACGTTAGGAGTGGCGCATCCCAAATGCCCAAACCCGAGCGACCCTAGCCCTAAGCAGTGCCGAGTGACTGACAGCAAAGCGACTGGCATAGCCTCTTTCTTGCACGAAAGAGGACCCGGACGTCTCGCAACAGAACCTTCGGCATCTTGGAAGCATGAGGCTTGTGAAAGCTTAGCAAGGCCTTGGGCTGGAATACAAGACAGTTTGGAGAACGGACCCTGGCAAGGCGCCGCCAAGCACGGTCCTTTCATGAAGTTCTTTGGGGTGAAAGATAAACGAGGCTTTTTGGGATGAGCCAGCACGAGTGAAGGCAAGACCGGTGTGCGACAACAGGACAATAGGCAGTACTGTCAACAGGCCTCCGACGACAGGAAAATCGGGATATCAGACACATTGAATTAGTTGGAAGCTCTTGGTCAACAAACAATTGTGCTCACTCGCTGTGGGGAAACTAGTAACTAGAACCTGAAAACACATACAAAGAACCGCACCTTCAACCAAACCCGGCTTCCTGCACCCTCAAGCCTCAATCCCGAAACCGACCAGAAGGTGCTCCCAGGCGCATTGATGAGTTCCTCGGGTTTGGTGTCGTGCGTGACGAAGCTGTTTCCTTAGGGTCGAAGGGTCTGCAGCCCACAAACGGTTCAAGAGTGATGTCGTCCAGGGCTCAGTCACGGACAGAACTCGAGTGTCAGCATAGCCATTTCCAACACCGGACAGGCTGCATGCATCTTCTCAACTGGAAACCTGGATAGCCTCACGAAGCTCACGTGCTGAGCAGCCTCCAAACTATTTACATGACTCCAAGACCTTTTGGAGCTCCCTGAACGTCCAGTGCAGCGCAGACACCGACGTAGTTTCCTGCCGGACAGCAGCGGTGGTTCAGGGGTTTGAAGCTCGAGAGTTTCTGGCATCGGTCTTTAGAACGATGCCAAAAAGAGCACAGACGGCAACAGCACAGATGTTCATATACACACAGAAGAAGATCATTCATGCTTGCAGCTAGCAAGCATTCAACGAAGTTCTACGAAAATTGCACGGCAGGCCCAGAAGGACAACAGACAGCGGAGCAAGCGGCTGCTTGCCTGCCGATGAACGTCTCTAATGAACGTCTCTGTTCAGGTCATGCTCCGGTTGAAGTGAATACCGGTACGCCACCCGTGCAGAGCGGCCTACAGCATTGGCTACCAGCACGATCGTGAGGCCGCCCCCGATGACCATGCCGCACTCCAGCAAGTTTTCCACCTTTCATGTCGGTGCTTGCTGGAAACCCAAACCACAATCCTAAGTCCACTTTCTGTTTTCGGCTCGCAGCTTCCGGAAGCTGGGCCATACTGGGCCTTGAGCGTTTGAGGGTCTTTGCATTTGATCATCTCCATCGAGCTTGACCCGCGGGGGTTCTCGTCGTGCGTTTCTGTTTATCGCTAAAGGATCATGGGATCGACTCTGCAACGGTTTTGAGTTTTTTCACACCATAATGGACTCTACCAGGTGGCGCCATTACTCGACCTTTTCTCCGGCAAACGCCTTTCTGTAGTCCTTGCCGGGGAACTGCGGAGCCCTCACCCCACTCGTAGCACTCGTAGTTGCAGGCCTCGACAAAAAAAATCTGCGGGCTTTCGAAAGGCCTGGGTTTGGGCTGCCAGGCTTTAGGCTTTCAGCCATTCCCTCCTAGAGTAGGGCCCCTTTGAGCTTTGACGACTGGCAATGGTGGCAACGCCAAGCTCTCAATCCCAAGGCTCGAGATCCGGGCTGCCCTCTGGAAAGCAGCTGCAGCTCTGGGTTGCCACGCCAATGCCCCTTTCACAACCCCAATCAATGCCCTGGACTTCGACACTTAAGCCTAAAAGCCCCTGAGCCAAACACTTGCCAGAAACAGTAAGGTAAGACTGCCAACGAAGATCTCTGAGTGAAGAACCGCCGACACCCCGCCACACAAAACTGATCCTTTCTCGAAGCAGCCGTCCAGTAGTCCTTGGCGAAGAACCTCTGGAGAAGGGTTTTGGATATGGGTTTCAAAGGCACTGGCATGAGGAATCTTCCCTTACCCCACACGGTCCTGTCCAGATCGAAGGGAATGCTGTTTGGGGATCTGATGTGGATGTGCAGCACGTGACGTGGGTTGCTGTTATAGCCCCGGCGTCCCGATGCTGCAGGACTTTCAAGTTCCGGATGGCACTAGCCCTGAAATGCAGGCATTTGGAAGCGATCTCCGCTCTGGAGTTTGGGGCCGCCAGTCTGAACCTCTTTCATCCCAATCCAGTCACGAAACTGCAGCAACCAAAGCGCCCACATTTAGAATACTACCTCACCTTGCTCCGGAAAGGGCTGCATGTTGCAGTTCTGGGAGCATCGTTTGCTTAATTTGTCTTTGTGTGCGTCCCTCTCTTTGCCAAGACTTTGAACGTGCTCAAATAGTCAGTTGGTTCTGGAGATTTTGGGGCCTCCCAACCGGTGTCCCTGACTCCGAGTTCCACGCACTGATTCTAACCTCACCTCCACTGCCCGCCCCGACTGAATCATGAATGCGCAGTCCACCCCAGAATCTACTCCAGACCCTTCAATACGCAGAGGGGCTGTCTGCGATTCCACGGCGGGCCGTCGGCCCCCATGTAGGCAGGGGCGAATCCTGGGACCAAAGCCAATGCTTCGATTCGTTGTGAGTTCGGGGGATCAGGGTTGGAGATGCTTGGAGTTTGATGATGCTGTGAACTCAGAACTGGCAGGCACACATCGGGAATTCGGATGCAAGGAAGCCGTGTGGCTTGGGCCTTGGGGTTTGGCGGGTTGGCGCTCGGATTGATTGAAAAGTTCGTTTGTCTACTATAGCAATGCAATTCTTTCACATGGACGTGGAATCTCTTCTCTGTGGACCGTTGTTCTTAGATGACGGCCGTGTAGATTGTTGGCTTTTCTACAGGGACCTGAACAGATCCCCACTGAGGGCAGCGGCGTGCACTGGGCGTGCACACTGGTGCAGAATCCCTTCTCGGGCGAGCAGCTGAGGTTCTCCGTGGAATTCTTGACCTCGGCCGGGCTGAAGTCCTGTGGCGTGTTCCCGTGTGGCACTGCTTTGCGGAGCCCAGGCCAGGAGCGTCCTTCATGGGAAGGTTCAGCGCCAAGGCCGGCAGAGTTTCGTTGGCCATGAAGCCTGGAAAGGCTTCGGAGAATTGGAAAAACTTGAAGCTTTCGGTGGCTTGGGTGGTGGAGTTTGGGGCACGCACGAGAAAGAAAAACTGTAGACATCCGGAAAGCATTCCGTGAGGGAACGGTACCCGTAACTCTTGGCCTGCTCACGACACTGGAAGACCCATTAAAGAGTGCTGCTTCTTGCAATTAGCATCTGGATGAAAAAGCTAGACTGACAGGTTCTGACCGTCATCCAAGACCAAAAGCAACGCTATGGTGCGATGGACAACTCACTTTCAATGCGCCTGCTTAACACAGGCAGTACAAAAACAGAGCCGAGTGAAAGACTTTTAAACTTAGACTTCCATAAGCAAGTCTGCTCTTGTCGGGCTCAAACCTGGCGCGGAAGTTTGAGCTTTCCGGGCATCCACAGCCTGGTTCAAAACCCCAAGCTGTTGGACTGAAGACCAAAGCCCAGCTACACGTCGAGGGCGGCACTCGTCGGATCCACTGGCCTGGGATGCAAGGAGATGGAAGGGCTCATGTACTTACACGACCCGCACTAGAGTTGCTTCTGCGTCTGGCTGGCTCCCAACGACTGATCGTCGCGATTGATGCTGATGATAACAATGCTGAGAAGGAGAACAAGAAGAAGAAGCGATGATGGCCCTACGACTATCTTCACCACCACCACCGCCTTTGGTTGATCTGGTGTCATGATGACTGTGAGCCATATCGATTGCACGATGAGCTAGTTAACAAATAGCATAGTGTCTTTCGTTATGGAGTTATGGATCATGGTATACTAGATGTTCTTAGACCGGACATCACGGCTTACATTTCTGTACTGCTGTTGTGTGAGGGTAAATTCAATTCCGCGATTGAGCTCTGCTATGTTATCTTATAGCGGAGGCATCTTTCTGCTTGAGAGTATTGGTCTTATAGCTGGAAGAAAAAACGGCAACAGCATGGCAAATTATGGTGCTCGCTGACAACCACTTCTCTATTGTATCAGCACCAGCCGTTACTCCGAGTACTAGGCATGTTGTTTGCCACCAGGTTATGATTCTCACCCAGACCACGGTCAGGTCATCTTCGCGCTTCTGCTTCGACGGTCTTAACAGAGGATGCGGTGACTTTGGCAGCGCAGGGAACACGAACACAGCCTCGGGCTCAAAGCGACTTTCGGGTCCAAAGCATCGATTGAATCCTGAACACACGGCATGCCTTTTCGGCCCGAAACCTGGTGGTTTGGGATACGAGTTTTTGGAAGCCCGAAACAGAGAAGCCGCCGGGGTACCCCAGAGAGCGCTCCAGTACTGCATCCAGGTGCTCGTCCGCCGGACCTCGTACTCGATCCTGAGAGCATCCGACTAAGCCGGGCCGGCTCTGCAAAAGTATCGCAGCCCGCAGCCGGCAACCCTCCGGAGGCTCAAACGCGACTTCGCCATCGTTTTTCTGTCTAGGGGGCAGGCGAGCAAAGCAACCACGCCGGGATTTCACGAAACCAGCACACGTCACACTACACGTACTAAACACAGCTTCGCAAGAGTACATGAAGGGGTGCCCGATCACTTCTGTGTTGTTTTTTGGGTTCACTTGTGTCTTTTTTTTGGGGGTCGCTTGTGTCTTTGTTTTCGGGGTCGCTTCTGTCTTTTTCCTTCTTCGGAAGCAACAGTCTCGAACGAGAGGTGCCTTGGTAGGACCTCACCCCGCTCAGTTTCAGGCTCGGTATATACATAAAGTGCAAAGGCAATTAGTTTGCTCCCTTTCTGTGTCCACATGCACATAGACATGCATGCGTACTCTACGAGGGGGTGTCTAAACACGTGTAGATATTTGTTGTATATTACACATTGTACGCATATACGTATACCTATATGTAAACATACACGTACACATAAACACATGCAACTAACGTATACAGTTTACTCCTTTTAAGGTTTCGTTTTGGGCTTACTCCTCTTAGGGCTTGGGCCTTCTTTCATTAGGGTTTCGTTCTGGGTTTACTCTTCTTAGGGTCTCGTTGTGGGTTTACTCCTCTTAGGGGTTGGGCCTTCTTTCATTAGGATTTCGTTCTGGGTTTACTCCTTTTAGGGTTTCGTTCTGGGTTTACTCCTCTTAGGGGTTAGGCCTTCTTTCATTAGGGTTTCGTTCTGGGTTTATTCTTTTAGGGTTTCGTTCTGGGTCTACTCCTCTTAGAGGTTGGGCCTTCTTTCATTAGGGTTTCGTTCTGGGTTTACTCCTTTCAAAATTTAGGGTTTCGTTCTGGGCTTACTCCTCTTAGGGGTTGGGCCTTCTTACATTAGGGTTTCGTTCTGGGTTTACTCCTTTTAGGGTTTGGTTCTGGGTTTACTCCTCATAGGGGTTGGGCCTTCTTTCATTGAGTTTCGTTCTGGGTTTACTCCTTTTAGGGTTTCGTTTTGGGCTTACTCCTCTTAGGGCTTGGGCCTTCTTTCGTTAGGGTTTCGTTCTGGGTTTACTCTTTTTAGGGTTTCGTTCTGGGTCTACTCCTCTTAGGGGTCGGGCCTTCTTTCATTAGGGTTTCGTTCTGGGTTTACTCCTTTTAGGGTTTCGTTCTGGGTTTACTCCTCTTAGGAGTTGGGCCTTCTTTCATTAGGGTTTCGTTCTGGCTTTACTCCTTTTAGGGTTTCGTTCTGGGTTTACTCATTTTAGGGTTTCGTTCTGGGCTTACTCCTCATAGGGGTTGGGCCTTCTTTCATCAGGGTCTCGTTCTGCGTTTACTTCTTTTAGGGTTTCGTTCTGGGTTTACTCCTCTTAGGAGTTGGGCCTTCTTTCATTAGGGTTTCGTTCTGGGTTTACTCCTTTTAGGGTTTCGTTCTGGGTTTACTCTTTTCGGGTTTGGTTCTGGGTTTACCCCTCTTAGGGGTTGCGCCTTCTTTCATTAGGGTTTCGTTCTGGGTTTACTCTTTTAGGGTCTGGTTCTGGGTTTACCCCTCTTAGGGGTTGGGCCTTCTTTCATTAGGGTTTCGTTCTGGGTTTACTCCTTTTAGGGTTTCGTTCTGGGTTTACTCATCTTAGGAGTTGGGCCTTCTTACATTAGAGTTTCGTTCTGGGTTTACTCCTTTTAGGGTTTCGTTCTGGGTTTACTCCTCATAGGGGTTGGGCCTTCTTTCATTAGGGTTTCGTTCTGGGTTTACTACTTTTAGGGTTTCGTTCTGGGTTTACTCCCCTTAGGGGTTGGGCCTTCTTTCGTTAGGGTTTCGTTCTGGGTTTACTCTTTTTAGGGTTTCGTTCTGGGTTTACTCCTCTTAGGGGTTGGGCTTCGTTCTGGGTTTACTCCTTTTAGGGTGTCGTTCTGGGTTTACTCCTCTTAGGGGTTGGGCCTTCTTTCATTAAGGTTTCGTTCTGGGCTTACTCCTTTTACGGTTTCGTTCTGGGTTTACTCCTCTTAGGGGTTGGGCCTTCTTTCATTAGGGTTTCGTTCTGGGCTTACTCTTTTTAGGGTGTCGTTCTGGGTTTACTCCTCGTAGGGGTTGGGCCGATTACTCCTCTTAGGGGTTGGGCCTTCTTTCATTAGGGTTTCGTTCTGGGTTTACTCTTTTAGGGTCTGGTTCTGGGTTTACCCCTCTTAGGGGTTGGGCCTTCTTTCATTAGGGTTTCGTTCTGGGTTTACTCCTTTTAGGGTTTCGTTCTGGGTTTACTCCTCTTAGGAGTTGGGCCTTCTTACATTAGGGTTTCGTTCTGGGTTTACTCCTTTTAGGGTTTCGTTCTGGGTTTACTCCTCATAGGGGTTGGGCCTTCTTTCATTAGGGTTTCGTTCTGGGTTTACTACTTTTAGGGTTTCGTTCTGGGTTTACTCCCCTTAGGGGTTGGGCCTTCTTTCGTTAGGGTTTCGTTCTGGGTTTACTCTTTTTAGGGTTTCGTTCTGGGTTTACTCCTCTTAGGGGTTGGGCTTCGTTCTGGGTTTACTCCTTTTAGGGTTTCGTTCTGGGTTTACTCCTGTTTGGGGTTGGGCCTTCTTTCATTAAGGTTTCGTTCTGGGCTTACTCCTTTTACGGTTTCGTTCTGTGTTTACTCCTCTTAGGGGTTGGGCCTTCTTTCATTAGGGTTTCGTTCTGGGCTTACTCTTTTTAGGGTTTCGTTCTGGGTTTACTCCTCGTAGGGGTTGGGCCGATTACTCCTCTTAGGGGTTGGGCCTTCTTTCATTAGGGTTTCGTTCTGGGTTTACCCATCTTAGGGGTAGGGCCTTGTTTCATCAGGGTTTCGTTCGGGGTCAGGTCCTACAAGGCACCCCTCGTTCGAGACTGTTGCTTCCGAAGCAAATAAAAGACACAAGTGACCCCCAAAAAAAGACACAAGTGAACCCAAAAAAACAGACACAAGTGACCCCCCTTCCCACGACATGCTGTCCTGTCGCCTTGCACGTCAAGGCCTGAATCGACGCAGGTGCACAATGCTCCATGGTACTGGTATGCAATAATGCGATATGATGCCGCTCCGGCAAACTGCCGCATAGAACCCCCAAGCCTCTGAATCTGGACTGTTTCTTCTGCTTGCCAAAGCTCTTTGCTTCCTTGAGCTTACACTCCCTGCTGAGGCCACAGGTGCGGGTCGGCACCCAGGGGGCCCGCATCGATGTAGCATTGGGAACGGTCCTCAGAGCATTCCGAAGAGCTTGGAACGGTTTGGGGTCTTCTCGCGTCGCTGTTTGCGGAGCCTTCAGGGTTCCTAAGTGCGCGAGAGTGTTGCTGAGTCTCCAAGCATTGAGAGCCGAAGTCTCAAACCACTGAACTTAGAAACTTTTGGGCTTCAGCGGTTGAAACTTGCCTTTTATGCTCTGCCTCCCAGCACTTCCCTGCCAAGGACGGGCGGCCCCTGACGGACGTGAGGAATGCCTGCGGCCACCTGCGCACCGGGAACTTAGGGCTTTGGGGCTGTAGGGTTGTAGCGTCGGAGGCCCAGCAGGTAGCATCGAAGAAGCTTCTGAACTTCCTGAGGGCTACCGTTGTTCTGACTCGAAGGCGCATCCGCTTCGCTCCGCGCCAGTGTTTGCACACATTCGGCCTGCCAATCAACCTGCTCCAAGAAGAAGCAGCGCCTTTGGCGGCAAGATGCTTGTCTAAACCCTCAGCCGTACATCCGGAACCAATACCCCTAAACCCCAAACTGGCCTAGACCCTAAACGCCGGATATCAGAAGTCGTGGGGTTTGAGTCCAACACGCTGCAGGGGCTTGAGGGTGCAAGGATCGCATTCACGGATCCAGACAAGGGATGCACCTCGTTATGGATGCTTCGGGGGCGGGAGTTAGAGAGTGTGCGAGAGAACGCCAAGGTTACCTCCACTTTATGCGTTTTGTGCCGAAAACGCTTAAGTAGTGTTTCAGTACTACTGCAATACCACATCAACGACTTTGGCATTACAATCACAAGATCGCGACTTGTGGGCTCCGAGACCTGAGGCAAGAAGACTCCCGGGGTCGAAGAACTTCGCAGGGTTAGGATTGAGGATTGAAGTCTTTTGGCGGGCTTTTTGGCCGAAGGCTTGAAACTATGCGCCCAGGTGCTTCTCCTCCGACTCGGACTTCAGCACCTCCTCGCCGGGGAGGATCTGCTCTTCCAGGAGGACCCTGAAAGGCGTTGGGGTTGAGGATCTTGAAGGGGTTGAAAGCTCAAAGTTTAGGGCCAGTTTAGGTCTTTAGAAGTCTTAGAGTGCTTTGGGTTTAGGATTTCAGAAATTGGGAATGCAGAACCCCAGACCGAAAAGAGTAAGAAAACCCCATGCCGGAGCCGGAAGTGGGACACATGCACGGCACAAGCTCACGGAAGGGAATACGAGGCCGCCGATCAACGCTCTCCAAATGCTTGGCTTAGCCTGCGCAGCTACCAAAACCATCAAGAATCATCAGCAGCATCACCATCATTGTGTCTTCTAGGCTCTTCGGTGTTGGGCAAGGATTACAGCAGACACTGAGGTCCAGGAAACTCTGCACAATGCAGTAACCCGCAACCCACAAAAGGCACTGCTGCAGAGGAAAGAGTATATGGTTGCAAATGACCATAAACCCTTAAACCCTAAAGCCCGACCGAATCCAACGGGCCATCCAAACCAGCACTGCTCTACGCGCACACCAAAGGACCCGTGGTTAAGTGTCCCAGGTCACGGGCGACCTTGAAACCAGGCCCTTCTCGCAGGCAAGCGGCTGTGTGACGAACAGAAAGCCCCCGAGGAAATACAAGCCTTTTCATGTGATTGTGGGTCTGCGACCATGTGATTAAATAGGTTCTTGGAGATCAAACTAAATTTTCGGGCATGGTCGTTACCATGACACCCAAAGCCAAAGCGGCCAGGCTGCAAACGGCAGAAAACCCAGCAACGACAACTACATGTTACTATCGAGCCTCATAGCAGCAGCAACAACGACACGAAAATGACAACAAGATCGGACAGAAGGAGAGCAGCAAGAAGAACCGCCACGCTAGTATGGTCGAAACGAGAAACGTTCCAAACAGAGCTGTCACTGCAAAGAGAAATTTCCGCACTTTTGCAAAACCATCCACTCCCCCAAGACCTCTATGCGAAGCTCGACAAAAAAGCACACCGCCCAAAATCTGAAGGAAATAGGGTTTCGTGACCTTCAGGGTTGAGGATTTCTGTAGACGCCCAAAGCAAAGTGTCTTCTAAAGGATCCCAGGAACGACAATGCAGCCACACCGCCCAACAAAGCAATCCGAAGCACACACATTATACACCAAATGAGTATGTAAACAAACCAAGCCCAAAGTGTATGCTTGACACTCCCAGCCACCCAAAGGTTGGAGGATGAATCCCCGGGGCTGCCAGCTCTTGATGTCCAAGATGGAGTACCTCCAATGGCAGGGCCTTCCAACTTTTCGGGGCATTGGGGGTTCTTGGGGTTCGGGATTCTGGGAGTCTTAGGATGTCTTTGGTCCGGTTCCTTCGGAGATCTCGGAGTCGTAGGGGTCTGGATTGAGGCTCTGCAGGTTGACGGCTTTAAACAAAGGGCCGCTGTTGACCTGTTGGGGAATGTACTCCGTTGTTGCTAGTCGAACTGCATCACCGCGAGCATCACTCCGGCTTCCAGTAGTCATGGTAGCTATTGATTGCTGCCCGTATACTAGGACTATATCCTCTTTTCCTACTATATTACTTCTGCGATGAAACACTCATCCGGGCGGCTATGGCGATTGCCATTGCACCAGACCCCGAGCTCGCGCTCCCCGTGTCACGCGAGCAGGAGTTGACAAGTGGATGCCCTGGATTCCAACGGAATTTTTCTCAAGTACAAAACCTCCACTTCAACACGGGTACCCACAGTTTCGGGGTTCTAGTTTCGGATCGGCGAGGGGGCAGTTTCGGATCAAGGCGGGTGAGTTTCGGGACTGAATTTCGGGACGGCCGGGGTCAGTTTCGGATCGGGCCATGGTCAGTTTCGGATCGTTTCGGGTCGCATAATCATAACATGGTCATTATTCACACTTCTATGTTAGGGTTGGGGACCTGGGTGGGCAGCTGAAGGCCAAGAGATGACTTACCAGGAGATTGTTTCATTCATCTTCGAAAGCAGGATTTTTACCTTCGGGGCATAGCCGGTGCTCCGGTCTAAATGTGCCTGTGGGTAGCAATGCTGGCTTCGAGATCCCTTGGAAGGCTCTGCTCCTGCCACAAATCCAAGCAGACCAACTCTTTGAGGGGGCGAATTAAAGATACGTCTTGAGCCGGAAGAACCGGAATCGCCAAATGAGGGGCCGTGCTTAAGATATATGATGCGCCAAATGAGGGGCGTGTTTAAGATATATGTTGAGCCGGAAACGCCAAACGAGGAGCCGTGCTTAAGATATACGTGGAACCGGCATAGACAAATGAGGGGGCGATTTTGAATATGTCTTGAGCCGGAATTGCCAAATGAGGAGGTGTGTTTAACATAAATGTTGAACCTTTAAGATAACGATAAGTTTTGAACCGGAATCGCCAAATGAGGGGGCGTGTTGAAGATATATTTTGAAACGGAGTTGCAGAATGAGGGGCCGTGTTTAAGACATAAGATGAACCGAAAACGCCAAATGAGGGGGCGTGTTTAAGATATATGTTGATCCGACATCGCCAAATGAGGGGGCGTGTTTAAGATATATGATGAACCGGAACCGCCAATGAGGGGGCCTGTTTAAGATATATCCTGAACCGGAATCGCCAAATGCGGAGCCGTGTTTAAGATATGTATTGAACCGGAGTCGCCAAATGAGCGGGCCTGTTTGAGATATATGTTGAACCGAAATCGCCAATTCAAAGGGCGTGTTGAAGACATAAGATGAGCCAAAATCGCCAAATGAGGGGCCGTGTTGAAGATATATGTTGAATCGGAGTTGCCAAATGAGGGGCCGGATATAAGATGAACCGGAATTGGCAAATGAGGGGCGTGTTTAAGATATATGTTGAGCCGGAAACGCCAAATCAGGGGGCGTGTTTAAGATAAATGATGAACCGAAAGCACCGAATGAGGGGGCGTGTTTAAGATATAAGATGAACCGAAATCGCCAAATAAGGGGGACTGTTTAAGATACTGTTTAAGATATATCCGGAGCCGGAATCGCCAAATGAAGGGTTGTGTTTAAGAGATATGTTGAACCGGAGCCGCCAAATGAGGGGGCGTGTTTAAGATAAATGTTGAACCGGAATCGCCAAATGAGGGGCCGTGTTTAAGAAATAAGATGAACCGAAATCGCCAAATGAGGGGGCGTGTTTAAGATATAAGATGAACCGGAATCGCCAAAACAGGGGCTACGTTTAAAAAATGTGTTGAACCGGAACCTGCACCGGAACCGCCAAATAAAAGGCGTGTTTAAGATATATGTTCAGCCGGAATCGCCAAATGAGGGGGCGTGTTTAACATAAATGTTGAACCGGAATCGCCACATGAGGGGGGGGGGTTCGGACATATTGTATACCGAAATCGCCAATTGAAAGGGCATGTTGAAGACATAAGATGAACCGACATCGCCGAATCAGGGGCCGTGTTCAAGATATATGTTGAACCGGAGTTGCCGAATGAGGGGCCGTGTTTAAGACATAAGATGAACCGAAAACGCCAAACGACGGCGCGTGTTTAACACATATGTTGAACCGGAATCGCCAAATGAGGGGCGTGTTTAAGATATAGGTTGAACCGAAGTCGCCAAATGAGGGGCCCTGTGCAAGAATTATCATGAACCGGAATCGCCAAATGAGGGGGCGTGTTTAAGATATAAGATGAACCGGAATCGCCAAAACAGGGGCTACGTTTAAAAAATGTGTTGAACCGGAACCTGCACCGGAACCGCCAAATGAAAGGCGTGTTTAAGATATATGTTCAGCCGGAATCGCCAAATGAGGGGGCGTGTTTAACATAAATGTTGAACCGGAATCGCCACATGAGGGGGGGGGGTTCGGACATATTGTATACCGAAATCGCCAATTGAAAGGGCATGTTGAAGACATAAGATGAACCGACATCGCCGAATCAGGGGCCGTGTTCAAGATATATGTTGAACCGGAGTTGCCGAATGAGGGGCCGTGTTTAAGACATAAGATGAACCGAAAACGCCAAACGACGGCGCGTGTTTAACACATATGTTGAACCGGAATCGCCAAATGAGGGGCGTGTTCAAGATATAGGTTGAACCGAAGTCGCCAAATGAGGGGCCCTGTGCAAGAATTATCATGAACCGGAATCGCCAAATGAGGGGGGCGTGTGTTAAGATATATTTTAAACTAACCAGAATCGGCAAATGAGGAGGCGTGTTGAAGATATAAGATGAACGGGGGCCTGTTTAAGATATATCCTGAACCGGAATCGCCAAATGAGGGGCTGTATTTAAGGCATAAGATGAACCCAAATCGCCAAATGAGGGAGCGTGTTTAAGAGAAAGGTTGAACCGACATCGCCAAATGAGGGGGTGTGTTTAAGATATTTTTTAAACCCGAATCGCCAAATGAGGGGGCGTGCTTAAAACAAACTATATATATATATATACATATATATATATATAAATGGTTGAAGATCCACACATATATATATATATATGTATGGTCCCCCCCATGTACCTACCCTTTTCCTGTCCTTCCTGTTCGGGTACGGAGCTCAGCAAATTAATTCCGCATAAGCGTGCGAGATCGTGCTCTTCCACGCAGTCCCAAACCCGCGATGCTCTCACACACAGATGCTCTCACGATCGTGCTCTCCCACACAGTGCCGAAGCCACGAAATCGTGCTCTCCTACACAGTCCCGAAACATATTCATTGAGACAGTCCCAAAAAAAACAAAAAATCCAAAGCACATAGCCCACGAAATGAGCAGATTCCTTGAGACAGTCCCTAAAAAAACAAAAGAACCAAAAATTCCGAAACCTATTCGACATAGGAAATGAGCATATTTCTCGAGACGGTCCCCCCCAAAAAAAGACCAAAACCCATAGGCCACGAAATGAGCATATTCTTCGAGACAGTCCCAAAAAAAACAGAAATACCAAAGATTCAGAGCTATCCCAAAAGCCACGTCTCAAGACAGCTCAAATGGCTTGGAATCTTTAGTATTTTTGGTTATTTTGGGGCTCTCGAAGAATATGCTTGGTTCGTGGCCTAAGGGCTTTGGTATTTTTGTGTTTTTGGGGACTGTCTCCAAGAATATGCTCATTTAGAGGCCTATGGGTTTTGGTATTTTTGGTTTGTTTGGGACTGTCTCGACGAATATGCTTGGTTCGTGGCCTAGAGGCTTTGGTATTTTGTTTTTTTTTGGACTGTCTCGAAGAATATGCTCATTTGGAGACCTATGGGTTTTGGTATTTTTGGTTTGTTTGGGACTGTCTCGAGGAATATGCTTGGTTCGTGGCCTATGGGCTTTGGTATTTTAGTCTTTTTGGGACTGTCTCGAAGAATACACGTGGTTTGTGGCCTATGGGCTTCGGTGTTATTGGTCTTTTTGGGACTGTCTCGAAGAACATGCTCATTTAGATGCCTGTGGGTTTTGGTTGTGTTGTTTTTTTGGGACTGTCTCGAGGAATATGCTCATTTCGTGTCGTTGGACTGTTTCGACAAATACGTTGTTTTCCTTGTCTGCAAACATGTGTTGAAACCAATAACAGTAACACAAAGGTAGCCCAAACAAAACATTGGAAAAACCAATAAAGGGACGCACAAGGAGTCCAAACCATTGGAAAACCAATAAACATCACACACCAGGAGTTAAAAAACAATGGAAATCCAATACAAACAACGCGTGCGGAATCCGAATCATTGTAATTTCAACACAGTGGTGCCTTCAGTTGATGACGGTTTCGATGTAATGTGCACATGCACAGACTTTGAGCTGGAAACACTCGTAACATAAACATATTTCTACATGTGGTTTCTAGTTGTGAGATTTGATGCTCAAGGGTTTAGTCAGTCATCAATATCCTGTGTGCCATGTCTCCTTTGGACGTATCAATATGGAAGAGCCTGTCGTGCGACGTGGCAGATTCCATCCTGAAGCTGGTTTTGGGACATGTGCCAGAAATCTGGGTGCTGTGCCTAGAGCTCCACACCCATCAGAAAAGCCTCCCGCATACGACATATGCGACAAATACTGTTTTAACAAAAATTATGAAGGCTAAGAAAGCTTCAGATTGGTATTCGTTTAACATTTCATGCTCACAGAAACCTTTAGCGTTATTCTTTATTATAAGCTGAGTTTTTCCTGGTATTAAGATATTGTCACAGTTCAACTGTATCCGAACACCAAAGTGTCGCAATAACTTATCTGTGATGCACATTTAGTCAGTCCTATGTAAAAAATTTCCCCGGGTGCTTTCGTATTTTGACTCTCGCGTATCATTTGCATATAGCACTTGTTCAAATGCCCTTTAACTACTACTTCATAATTATTGAGCATTTAACCTTTATTTTGGAGGAATACTCGTTTGGTATTTGAGTAGTGATGGCTGCATGTTCGCAGGTATGTCGGTCATTCAAATTCGAATATTGATAGATTTTTATCTTGTAATAGCTACGTCGTACTCAGGCGGTGCGTCACTTTTCTAAGTCTGTACAATAGCTGAAGCTCACCTAATATTATCTCGATGCCCCATTGATGTTCATTATGTGCTGAGTTTCTGTTTTTAGTATGTAAGTGCCAGGTTCAAGAAACTCTAGGTGCTCATTCTGTACTCAGCGAACATGTGATATTCACATACATCTTAAGCAAGATTTCACTGCTATATGCTTCATCCCCTTGAGATCTAACCCAACAGTTATTTCATGTTTCATGGTTAAAAATATGTCCCTAATATGTACACAGTGCCGTTTTCGTCCAGGTTCTTGAGTGAGCCCCTAGCAATAAAGGTACCATTGTTCCTGTTAATTATTCAGTGTTAATAAAAAACCATACAGTAAAACCGGCTTAAAGGTACTAGCCAGGAACATAGTCGTAATTTCCAGTTAGGCAGATGGCATTCCATGGTTTAGTCGCTATTGAGTACCTTTTGCGTATTCGCTTGTTATTTGTTGGTATCTCTTCTCAATGAGTGGTATAATAGTAATCACTACTGAAGAAAATGTAGCGCTAAACTGTTACGGACTAATACGGTGTGGCTGGTTTGCTAACTCTCTTGTACTACTGCACCGATTCGCTGTTCCAGTATCGACTAATGTTTGAATGCTGCATACTGTGTGGGTTGAGCAGGAAGGCAGAACAACATGAAACACTTATATTGCAACTGTGCCTTCGCACTAGCAGAAGCAATAACAGATGTATCACCAATGCTGTTTGACCGCGAGAAAGTAGAGAATGGATCAGACATGGGTACTTTACGAACAGTACAAGGCAACATGCCAAACGGCTGTCGCCAGCGCATATGCGCATGATGGTCATGAAAAGATAAACACACCAAGTATCCTTCTACTGTGTTTCTAAATCAAATACTGAGCTTAACGCATCGACTCGGCTCTACGTCATACAGGGTCCTGGCTTGCACATGTCTTCCGAACAGTCCTACTTGTCATTCGTGCTTTCCGTCACAGTCCCAAAACCGCGAGTCCGTGCCCTCACGAACAGTTCCCAACGCCGAGAGATAGTGCTCTCACACACAATTCCCAAAGTAATGAAAGGATAAGCACACCAAATAGGTAGGTACGTCCGGGGGGGGTAGCATACATATATAGGTATAGGTACAGGTATCGGTACGGTAAAGCCATAGGTCCTACCAGAGGGCCTCTCGTTGGACACTGTTGCTTCCGAACAATGACAAGACACCAGCGACCCCTAAAAGAAAGACACAAGCGACCCCCCAAAAAAAACGCAAGTGACCCCAAAAATAAAAAGAAGTGATTGGGCACTCAGGATTTAGGGCAATACAACACACCAACACACCCCGGGGCGGACAGCGGGCCGGACGGACGGCGGCGGCACGGGGGGACCTGTGGCCGGGACCTGGACAGCTGCAGGGGGGAGCTGCTGCCGGGACCTGTCGTGAACAGAAACAAAAGACCTGCACGAACCGGTCTCGGCCCGATCCGAAACTGGCCACGTCCCGATCCGAAACTGACCCGGGCCCGATCCGAAACTGACCCCGATCCGAAACTCAGACCCGAAACTGGACACCGAAACTGACCTGGAAGACCCTGAAACTCGCAACTTCCCTACGACTGTTTGGGCGGTAACGCTCTGGCGCACTGAAAAAACAGGCAAACTCCAAGATTGAGCCGTACTAATTAAGATTATGCAGATCCCTATTTCACGTACCATGTCGCGCGACCCGCTTTCAAGACAAAAGTCCAAGTTCATTCCTGACCCTGATTTGGGGTTGAGCGCAACATGCTATTGTCAGAGACCGCTGCGTTTGAAACTCCGTCGATTCCACCGGAAACTGTGGGTACGAGATTGATCCAATCGTAAGCTCGATGAAATCGTACACAATCAAAGCCTCCAACGCCACACCGTGAACCCTCAACTGGGCACTGGAACTGCCAAAAGCGCTGAATGGAGTCTGGGTTGTCGTTGTCGTGGACGAAGGTGGAGGCCACTGTGAGGATTCCTCTTGCTTTACTCGAGCATGTTGCATCCAAATGTATCCATATCATGATGCGAACGTGTTGCTATCTTGATTCTCGTACCTGGTGGTAGCAATGGCGCTGACTCGATTACATGGGCTCTGCTTTGAGGGTTCTCGGGTAACAAGCATCGAGCAGCTGACGGCTTCCGCAACATGCCATTTGGCATGTATTATGACGAAAGCAGGTGTGGCGGCACCCCCCTATCGACCCAGGGTGCAGTTTCTTGTACCGGATAATTTTCTGTAGCTCACCCATTGAACGGCTTCCTGGCTGAGCTGAAGGTTGGGACAGAGCTTGGAAATTGGGCGGCCCCCATAAACGCAGCGGGTGTCCTATCAATCCGAAGATGTAGAAGCCAACTTTCCAGAAAGTGTCCACGAAGACAAGAAGCCTAGCGGGCATGTTGCTGCTTCTATGCCTTCAGGGTTTCAGGTAGGATTGTGGGCTGCTGTGACCCACCAAAGTGCAACTTGAAAGCCTAGATTGCTCCGTGCCGACGCTTTGCCATGCTTCGCTAAAGCCTTGGACCTTGGACTGTCTGCCTTTGGGACAAGGGCCCCCGTGCAAACCGCGGAGGGTTTTGGCTTCGCTCCCGGTCTCTCACTGTTCTCCCCTTGCGGTCACAGTACCGCGTAGTCCAGTGCAGGTGGTTGAAGACGATCAGGGCCACCAGCATAGCCAACACACCTCGCCACCGGGGCAGTAGACGGGTGGCCGGCTGAGGAAATTTGGGTCAGAAACCGAAATTGCAGCCAGCTTGGCACCCTTGATTTCCGAGACTTCGCCCTACCACAGCCAAGGCCATGAGAAACTTAACCGAAGGCCAGGCGAAAGTGGAAAAGAAGCGGGAGGATCGCAGCAAGGTGGAGAAGGACTAAAGTCACTAGGCACAAGCTTTGACTCCCTCAAGTCTAGGGTTGCCAAACCCACACCTCTCTCGTCACAAGTTTGAAGCTCGGCTTTAGGATCCAGGGTTACGGCTTTGGGGTCTCAACCCACTCCCACTCATTCGCGAAATCAACAACTCCAGATGAGTGGCAATGATTATCTCTGGCTCTTCTCGACGAAGAACAATGCTGAGAACCAACATTCCGAAGGGCAAGCGACAGAAGCGTAACAGAATAGGACTGATCGCGACCCAGGAAAGCCTCACATAAAACTTTCCACTGGCATTCCACTGTGAAAGGGTATACTGCCGAGGATCCCAGGCAGGCCACGGCTAAGCAAACACAGAATGAGAACTCCACCTGTCAATGCACAATGCTCAGGCGGGGTAGGATTTCTGGTCTGGGGCTGATTTAAGAATTTAGGGTTCTACATCTCCTGGGTTGCACATGGTGTTTATCGACTGGTTGTTCAAATGCATAGCTTCGCAAGGTGAACTTATGCCGACGCCTGCAGGTTGCTCGGCTTTCTCCGATGTCATGAGCGTACGAGCAACAAACACTCGTTTGCCTAGATACATGTGCTCATATACTGGTACCTGTGCAGGTCTGTACAGGCCTCATGAATATGTATATATATATATATATATACTTATATTTATATATGTATTTATTTATATTTGTACTTATACAAGTACTGGCACGGGTGGCTGCAAATATGCCTGTGTATATACTGCACTTGTATACGTAGACATGCACGGGTACACAAACATGTACATAAACATTAACTTATGCATAAACTTCTCTGGTTATGTATGTATCCGTTTGACATGTTCCTTTGCTCACTCTTGTCTCCAAGGTCGTATGTTCACATCGGAGAATGACCCGAACCGATTGTGATCTGCGCTGCTTCTCATTCTGAGGCGGCCAGCGCTGAAGAGCTGCGATGCCAGGAAGGGTTGAAGCTTTGAGATTTGGGCTCTTGTGATGGGATTCGAAGATTTAGCTTTTGGTTTAAGGTCCACGATGTGGGCGTTTTATCCTTTTATCCCTCACTTTCTTGCCTACGAGCTTCTGGGCGTTGGTAACCGCTTGTACTGCTACTTCTTCTGCGACCGCTGTTGGCACTGCCATTTCCTGAACGCGGCTGCGAGTCTTTGGTGTCGCCGCAGCCATGCCATGGCAGTTGCGCAGTGCTGTGCTTGTCAGCATGCAGCAGCACGGTAGAACCCTAATTGAAAACCCTGAGCCCTGGACATCTGTTGAAGCCGAGTGTCTAAGACGGAGCAGCACCAGTTGCAGCATGAGAAGTAGCTCACCTGCAGGCTTGGTGGAAGGCTTCTGGTTATGGCTATGACATGCTGCTAGTAGCGCTTCAAATCCTTGGAAGCCCCCCAGAACTGTCTGGAGAAAATCACCATATCCATGATTGAAAACGAAAACAATCGATAACAACAACATCAAGGGCAACAGCAGCCCAATAGCCATTCGACAAGGCCGAAGGATTCATCATTTGCGTTCGCGTCATGAGCATCAAATTTGTTCTGCGGATGACGGCCACATCATCTGGATCTGGACTCAAAGCAATGCCTTTCAGGAGTTGCAGCTCAACTGTTGCTACAACCTGTGGCTACCTGGCCTCGACGTGAGCATCCAAGTAATTATGCTGTGGAAGCTCAGATACTCGAAGTGACTTGTATCACATAGTAGAACATAAGAAAGCATTGTACACTGAAACCGATCAGAGTAGACTAGCTGGCAATATCGGACAGGCTCGTAAACTGTACTACACGATGTAGCTTTATGTAGGTGGATGGTACCACACCTTGGTATGAGATGAAGCCCTACACGTTGCATGCCCTATACAAGAACTGACAACGAAACACGATAGTCCTGATGCTTTAAAACTACGTACAACATCATACAAACTTTCGAGAGCATTGCAGCCCACTTTGTGCAATTTACATGACGTGACTTGGCTTTCTGATTTGACGACTTGCTGTGTGCTGAAGCATAACTTCTGCAACCCTTGGAGATGAAGCCGGAAAGCCTGGCCTTGAAAGACTTGGTTTCCTTCTTCTCCGCCTGAGACGCTCGCGTGTCGGATCGACCATCTTAAACCTTCAACATGGTACCTAAGTTGGGCAGAATTCACGAGGGGTCATGAAACATGCTTCAACCTTCCCAAGCAGTGCACCCAACAAGACCTATGGCTGATCCAAACTGTCACTTCAAACACAGCTGAAGCAGATCATGATTCAAGGTACAAACCCCTTCGTTTCGGCCGCGCCTCGGTCGATTTGGACATGGCTGCACGAAGCGTTACAGTAGCTCCAACCGAAATTAGTTGTGTTTGCTGCAGTTGAAGACACCATCGTGAAAGATGCTCAATGCTTTGAGACTGCTTCGGTGCTGTTGCGCACGCATGATCATTGGTTGTTCGTTTTTTGGGTTGATGTTGCTGATTGGAATGCCCTTTACGCCGACCACTGCAATGATGTTGCATGGACCACCTCGACTGATAAGTCAACTGCCAGGACTTTTCATAACTCACACGGGATGCAGGGACAGTTTGCTGATCCCAACTCTAGAACTATCGAAGCTGCCAAATGGGTACTGATGCAAAGTTTGGAAACGTCCGAGTATACTGCTGCACGCATAGACAGATGTGCGTCCTGCTTCAGAACCTGCTTCGCACTTTCGGTGGATTTCACCAATGCACTGATGCAAACTTTGAAAACCTCGACAAATTCAAGCGGGAAGGCTTGGAGCCGTTCTAAGGAAAAGGTGTTATGGCAAAAATGACAGATTCGACTAAACAAACACCTTGCGTGCAGCACCACATAAGTGCAAACAAAAAGCTTGTTAAGTGATGTCTTGAGCTACCCTGACTTCCGTCTTGGTTCTGCAACAGGACGAAGAATGGAAGACGGATGGGACGCGGTGAGACCCATGGAGATGCATGCAATGTACTGCATCATACCGTAAGCTTGCAACAATGTCAAAGGCAGAAGAGCAGCCCGAGCGGCACAACCTTCATCTCGGTGCGATGAGAACTCATTAATTGCAGCTTACGCTTGCAACGCTTTGCAGTTTCATATTGCTGGGGGATTTTGATGCACCTTCCTTTATCTTGCTTCAATAGCATCCGTAAACATTTCAGAGTAGGGATCATAAGTTTATCTTTACGAAGATTAGGTTCGCTCATAAATGTTGATCGCATTTCCGCTTTCCAAAAAAGGGAGACCAAAAACCCGTTTCACAACATCTGCGTTTAGCGCCACCAAGACGGACCAGCAAAAGTACCCAACCTCAAAATCGACGTTAGCATCCTGACATACAGACTCCCTGCAAGTGAGAGCACGGCTGAAAGACTGGATCTGCTAACTTCAAACACTTCGTTTCAGGTGCAACGCGTCTGGCTAAACTGACTTCCACCATCTTCCACCCTGCAAACCTGCACACTGTCCTTTCGCGGAAGCAGTCAGAAGGATTCCTCAACCGGCGAAAACTTGAATCAAATCCACAAACCGGCATCGAGAAGAAGAAAGAGCCCGTGGCTGCCTGGAGAGGACCCATGGCCGGTTCAGGCAACCTCCACTTCTGCTCAGACTTGAGGACTTGAGGATCGAAGTCGGTCCCTCGTAGTTCGTAGTAGTAGTGGCGGCAGTAGTAGTAGTAGTAGTAGCAGCAGTAGTAGTAGCAGCCGCCACGAGTGATCAAGCGGCCGCGCAGTTGAGAGGCTTTTGAACTGGCTTGGGGCGCAACTTCTGTGCTAGAGGTCCTGACCAGGCGTCTTTTCTGAACAGTAAGGGATTGTGCCTTCCTGAGCCATGACCGCCTAGTTGGCGCCAGAGCCGAAGCAATAGTTGACAAAAACCGGGATTTGGCCCTTCAGCGCTCGGACAAGCTTGCGGAGTCGGTTGCACTCTTTTTGGGTAGGCGTATGCAAGCCTTATTTGGCCACGACAAGGACCCCAGGTCGTTTTCCCTAGGAAGGCCAGCACAGTGAAATCCGATGAGTCAACCAGTCCGTCTACCAGCAGGTCTTCTATTCGGAAGAAAAAGCGTGCCAAAGTTGCAAAAACCCCACCGCCTATCGGGGGAAAAAGCAAACCAAACGTGAAGCCGGAAAGTGCCAGCATGAATCGGGAGGACCTGCAAGAGCAGAGTTTAGCCAACGATGGGGCTGGAAATCTTCCCAGCCGTCCCCGGAAGCCAACAAGAAGCAGATCTTGCTGGTCTTGGTGGCCGGGGAAATGGACACAAAGGGGCACAAGTTCGCCCAGACGGGAGGCAAGTCTGGCAACAATGTGCAGATTAAGTGTGAGGAGTGTCGCCCCTGCGCCGGAGTGGAAATGGCATCCTTCGCATAATATGTGCAATGAAGGCATCAGGTGGAGGTGTTCCAGGTGTCACAGTGTGCAACCCGTGGGGGGGCTTGCGACCCCGGCCGTACTTGAACGTTTTTGTGCACATAGGAAGTCGAACAATTCACGTAAGCGAGCTGCCCGTGAG